AACAGCTTGCCTAGGATCGAGGTAAGACTAACTGGCCTATAGTTTCCCGGGTCCTCCTTCCTCCCTTTTTTGAAGATGGGAACCACGTTGGCCCTCTTCCAGTCCTCCGGTACCTCCTCCAGAGCACCATGAGTGCTCGTAAAGCCATGCCAGAGGACTTGCAATGACCTCAGCCAGTTCCTTTAGAACTCTAGGGTGGAGATCATCCGGACCGACTGACTTGAAAACGTCCAGCCCCTCCAGAAGCTCCCTAACTAAATCCTCGCTAACCCTTGGCCCAGGTGTGCCACCCCCGGGGCCCAAGGGGGGCCCAGCAGGGAGGTGGCTGTTCTGGTCCCTACTTAGGAAGACGGAGGCAAAGAAATCGTTAAATATGTTAGCTTTGTCGTCTGGTGTGACAACCAAATTTCCCAACGTGTCCTGCAAGGGCCCCACAGCTACGGCTATATAGCATCTCATGTAGATGCTACAGCAACACAGCATCTCGTGTAGATGCACCCAGTATGTACATTCTGGTGATATAAAAATTCCCTAGGCATTTTAATTGGATATATTACTCTGCACTCCAAGTGGCAAGCTGTTTAATACTGCACAGTAAAATTGTTTAACCATCATATGATTCTATGATTCTAACATTTTATAGAAGCAGAATGTTGGCTGCCATGGTTCCACTGCTTTTTCCTGCGGCAGGTTTGGGTGTTAAGTCTGTGTTGTGTCTTCTGCAGGGTTTAGATTATAATTGTATGGGATGGTTTGGAGAGGGATGATCCTGCCTCAGGCAGAGGGATGATCCTGCCTCAGGCAGGAGGTTGGACTAGATGACCTCCGAAGGCCCCTTCCAGTTCTACTTCTCTTATGACTCTACAATCGCTGCATTTCAACACTGGATATACAGTGACTTACAAAGTACTTTCATAGTTTCATAGTTGTTAAGGGCTGGAAGTTGAGCTCTTTGCTTGTTTTAAGTATTTTGTTTTGCATGCATTCTGTCTAAATTAGTCTACTGCGCCCTAATGCCACACATGCGTAGATGGTGGCGCTTTACTATGCAGCAAGTTAGTCTGCTGCACAGTAAAGCATCCAATGTAGATACACCCAAGTATTTTCTTTTGGCGTTTTAAATCCTTATCACGTATCTACTATCTAAAACAAGATGTTTACCTTTTCCAGTTCCTTCCAATCATAATTTGTATTCCCAATCACCATTGCCTGAAGCTCACTGGGCTGGAAGAGTTGTAGAACCTTTCCTCCACAAACCTTGTGGAAGCCTGAATGGAATGCATTAAACAAGGAAGCCACTGATTTATTGAAGATGTAATCCACATAGGAATCAACAAATTCCTGTCTGTAGAGTGAAAAAACACAAAGCCAGTCATTTGAAAGTGGAACCTTTTGTTGTTTAGACACGCACGTGCGCATGCACACACACACACACAAGTGCACGCACACACACACACACACCTTTCTATAAATAAATCTTAAATGTTTAGTATAAAATAGTGATTCAAAAATTATATTTTGCCTATAGTCTATGGGCATAATAGAGACACCCAGAACATAAATAAGCAGAGCAAAATGGTACGATAGATATCTTTTGTGGCATTTTGACCATCTGTACTTGAGTACAAGCAGTTCCTATTTCTTGCCTGAAATTTTCATATTTTTACACATTCCCAATCTACTCAGTTTACTTATAGTTGTTGGATTTTTTTTTTAATCCAAACATCAGTTTACAAGTATCCTACCAGCAAGTTTTTTTTTTCTGCCATGGTAATACATGCTTTTTATCAAGGACATTACCACTGATCTAAACAAAAAAAAAGATCCTTTGAACATGCTTTGCAAATAGCTTGGTATTTGTTTAAAGAGGTAATCCTGAAAATCTTTAGAAGTGTTACCTTCTTACCTAGCTATTATTCTGAGTATTATAACAAAATTAAAACTGTGATGGAGACTAATATGAAAATGAAAGGTATTAAGTCCTTGTGGGCTGTGTTCTGAGAGAACTGTTCAGTGGTACAAGACAAATCAGTGTAAACATTTATAAGGTACTCATGTTATACAAACAAACTTTTTGCCTCTTGCTTTTAATTTCATTTTCTTGAGTTTTGCATTGCCTTAAGAAACTCCGTTTTGTATTGCTCTGTAGCTTGACATAAGTGCTCGACCTTTATATGCTGTATGCGAGAGAGAATGAATGAGAGCGTGTTTGTAGAAAAGGAAAACATCAGTTGGTGACTGGCTGAAGAATGCAGACAGATAAAAGACCAAAACAAGAAGAATCCACCCCAGAACAGTGAGAGAACAACAGCAACTGACCTTCAAGGAAGAACACAGTGATAACACAGCAAAAGCCCAGAGGACTGGGTGAATTGACAAGGCTATAAAAGATGGGGTGAGATGTATCGATTTTAGGTCTTCTTCTGCATGTCATCCTGGAGCATCAGGTTGCCTGATGAGATGGACTGGCAGGAGCCCAGCTCCTACTCACGATCAACTTGGCTGGCCACTAATATGACCTCATTACTGATAAGACTGGTAATGTATACCAGCACAGAACAGAAACTGGGGGTATGAATGTGTGTGTGTTTGGGGGGGGGGGGAAGGGTCTGTGTGTGTGTCTGTGTCACATGCTTAATCAATAAACGCAGCATCTTGTCTTATCCTCTGTCATAAGGTCTCACTTGTAATTTGAGCAATTGGCAATTTGGGTAAAACTCATTCCAAATGTGCACTGGGCAGTAATCAAAACTTTAGTATGCATCTAATTTATGCAAATCTACAGCTAAACAATAGCATGCAAAATAACAAGATGATGACCTACAAGCACAAATACATAGGTCCCCCCATAAAGAAACCCCACAAAGCCTAGCAACACTGTTGAGTATTCAACTAAGACAATACAAATCCATGATTAAAAAGGAACAAACAAAGACTGCATGTCTATTACAAAAAGGTGTAAACTTCATTTCCACATGAGACCTCTAATCCTAATCCAGAGCATGCTCAAATTATATAGATATAGTATGAAATCAGGTTTACAGCTATCACAGCCAAAGTCAAATGGAAGTTCAAGACAACCAGAGTGGAATCCTCCCAAAATATTTTTTCATGATAGTAAGCCTAAAAGACCAACCTAACTGAATTTGGTAGAGACTTTATCTGTCTGAAAAACAAGAGGAACAGTAGGGCTACATGTATACCACTGCTGTTCTTCATTTAACTCTGTTTCAGAATGCAAACAAACTCATTTTTGAATGGGGAACCTGCTACAAATTATCAGATACAAATAACTAAATACTCCAAGAACTCTTATGTCAAACTGAACAAAGTCCCCATCTTGAAAAAACTGAGTTAACTAGAGCTTAATGCATCAGGCTTTCATACAGTTGTACTTTTGCCCAAACAGATACCTAGTTCAAAAAAGGGTAGGGGGCTTTATCATGATAAGTGGTGATCATTTAACTTATCAATTATCATCAACATTGCACTGAAAAGCATATGCTGAGGAGTTAACCCAATTCCCTAAACATCAGAAGGCAGTCTTGTGGGACTATGAAAGAATCACACACCATGTCTTTCTACACATGAAAAGTCCCTTTCCTACTTGTCTTCCATGAATTCTTTCACAAAGATCATAGACCCAGTGCTTCCAGAAGTGCTGACACTAGTCACTTTCCTTGGGAAAAAATATTTGCGTGTCATAAAGGAACTAGGAGAAAACTCCAGTATTCAAGATGTGTGATAAACAGGGATGCAATTTTTACTGAAGTCTCAGGCATCTTATGGAAGTACACAGAATAATAGAAAAGGAGGGTTGGAAGGGATCTCTTGTAGGTCATCCTCTAGTCCAATCCCCTGCATGAGGCAGGATCATTTCTATCCAAACCAACTTAAAAAATCCTTTGCTAATCTATTAGTAAAACTACAGTCAACCCTGAGACCCTAACATGCCACAAGTAAAGCAGGGGAATAACAGCAGCCAGTATCCTGCTGCCGCAAGGTTGTTACACTGAAGAGATCCAAGAGGGCCACATCCCCTGCTACCCCCACAGTTCTTACCAGTCTGACCATGGGGTAAAATTTCTTCCTGACCCCAAGTATGGTGATCGACTGACCCTGAGCAGAGGGGCAAGCCCCTGTTGTCAGGAATATCCAAGTTTTATTCCCAAAAGGAGCACTGCAAACCCCAGTCAATCCCTAGCCCTGGCTGAAGCAAGGGTCATCCCGGGGGGGGGGGGGGGGAAAGTGG